GAAGAAACTAAGACATTCTTAAAAAATGGTGACCAAATAAACAAACTGTGGTACATTCCTACTATGAAATATTAGAAGCTATCAATACACAGAAAGACATGAAGTAACCTCAAATGCATATTGCTTAGCGAAAGAAGCCAGTCTGAAAAGACAATATTCTCTATGATGCCAACTCTGTAGGATTTTGGAGAAGGCAAAACTATGGATACAGTAAAAGGTAAAAATAAAATTTAAAAAATCAGTGGTTGTCAGGGATTAGGAAAGGGAGGAAGGGGAGGGATGGCTCGGTGGAGCACAGTTGCATTCTATCCTGTGCAGGTTACCTCCTTGTACCTTAGTAGTTTTCAAATAGTGCTGAGACTCTTTCAATTGGACCCTTCCATGACCAGGATCCTGGAGGAGAAGAAGGGGCCTAAGGCATTTCCAAACCCAAGTTTCTGTGTCTAGAATTCTTCTTTTGAAATGTATAGAGCTGGTATTCCTATATCACTGATAAGAAATTTAACTATAAAATTATGCTTTTACTTCTTAGATGGGTTACAGTGAAGAGTTTAGGTTTAGTTCAGTCCCTGTGTCTACGGAACACAGACTCAGAGAAAACAGACTCTATCAAAGGTCAGGACTCACGTCTTATGATACTGAATCCAGTGCTCTTATCAAAAAGAATGCAATCTTTTGGATGGCTCCATAACCATACCTCTGAAGTCTGGCTTTCCTGTTTGCAAAAGTCAAAGCCTGGGCTCCACTGTTTTAATAAATGTTTTAAAATTGTTATAAAATCATTGTAGAAAATTTAGCAAGAGAAGCAGCAGGAGGAGTTGGAAGAAGAGAGAAAGAGAAGGAAAGAAGAAGGGAGGAAGGGAGGGAGGGATGGGTGAAAGGAGGGAGGAAAAAAAAGAAAAATCACGATCTCACCACTCTGAGGTAAGGAATATAAACATTTTAGTGTTCATCATCCTGGATGATTGGTAATATTCTACACACCCTTGTAACCTGCCTTTTTCTGTTTAACATCTTTCCATGGGAGACGACGTAGCCAGAGTTAGAAGGTGGCAGGAACTGTGTAGCTAGTGAATGAGAGTCCAAGCTTTAGAACTAGACCTGGTTCATATACCGGCTCAGTTCCTCAAAAGCTGTGTGATACTGAGCAGGCTACTCAACCTTTCTGTTTTTTCAGTGTCCCATCTATAGAATGGAGATAAAAATAATAACTGCTTCTTCATAGGGCCCATTGTGAAGACTCAATGGCTTGCTGTATCTAAAAAAATAAATAAACTTATAACAGTGCCTGGCTCAAAGTACACCCTATATCAGTCAGGGTTGGTAAAATTTTTCAGTGAAGAGCCAAATAATAAACGTTTAAGGCTTTGCAGGGTCCTATGGTTTCTGTTGCAGCCCCTCAATGATGCCCTTGTAGCACAAAAGCAGCTATAAATGAATGAGATGGCTGGTTCCAATTAAACTTTATGGTACTGCCTGACCGAGTGTGGCTCGGTGGTTGAGCATCTACCTAGGATTCCAGGCGATCGGGGTTCGATTCCCGGTCAGGGCACATGCCCAGGTTGTGGGCTCGATCCCCAGTCTGGGACCTGCAGGAGGCAGCCGATCAGTGACTCTCTCATTATTGATGTTTCTGTCTCTCTCTCTCCCTCTCCTTTCCTCTCTCTGAAATCAATAAAGATATATTTTAAAAAATAAACAAACTTTATGGTACTGAATTTGAATTTCATATCATTTTCACATTCATGAATATTATTATTATTTTGATTTTTTCAACCATTAAAAAATGTAAGCACTCTTAGTTCACGGTACGTACAAAAACGGGCAGTAGGCTGGGCTTTTGGGCCATAGTTTTCTTATCTCTCTTCTATGTAATTAATAGATATTATTGTGTCCTTATTATCTTTCTAGAAGTTCTTTCTAATGCCTGCTTATAACAAGAGTGTTTGGATGTCCTATAATATACTTGGTCTCCTACAGCTAGACTTTAGATTATTTCCTGTATTCATTATATGTCACCAATGAATATCTGTGTAAGCTCTTTGTGCACATTTATTATTACATCTGTGTCCTAACATGTATTTAGTGTAGCTATCAAAATGGCAGGCAGAGCAGCTAGAAAGAGACTCTGAAGAAGCAGCCTTGAAAATAAATCTTATATAGTTATAGCCAATTTCAAACATGTTAGAGGAGCTTTATAACATATTCACATACATTGAACTATGTACTACAGTCATATATATATATATACACACACACCCACACCCCCATATATATATATGTGTGTATATATATATATGTATATATATATATATATGAAATCATTTAGTCTTCAAAACAATCCTAGGAGGTACAAGTGCAATCATCAGCAGTAGCCCCATAGTGCAAAAGGAGAAACTGAGGCTAGAAGAGCTCAGTAACTCCCAAAGGTCACACAGCTGGCCTTAGCAGAGGCAGGAGTCAAACCTGGTCTGCCCAGCCCTACAGCCTACGATCTTGAACACAGTGCTGAACTGCCCCTTCACCGGTGAGACCTGGCACTCCTCGGTACTCACTTTATAACGTACCTGGAGCGTTTTGTGTATTTAGATCAGTCTGGCACGCAGGAGGGACCTCAGGCTCTAAAAACAGGCACAAATTCTGTCCCATAATGGTCACTTGGGTGGAAACGGTGACTGCCCACCTAACCTTGTCTTTTCCCCTCCGGCCCTCCCCTCATGCCAACTCTTCATTAACTTGCCCTGCATTTCTTACCCAAATAGTTGTCCTCTATAAACAGTGAAGGTTGACTGGAGCACACTTTCACATCTTGTTTTCCACGTTAGGGTCCCAACTCTACCAAATTCACGTGGCAAATTCGGTGGAGCTTCGCCTACAGGGTAGGGCCCTGCGTCGCCTTGGGAATGCAAATTTCGGATCAATGCTCTCCTTTGAAAACAAAACAGTG